CTTCCCATCCACCAAATCCCCCACTCTTTCACTATCCCCAGGCCTATGCCCTTCTAGTTGCCCTGTTCCAGGCTCCAACTGGGGCAGAGTCTCCCTGCTTTACCACAGACCAAGCAGACTACAAGAAGTCCAGGCCACACCTACAAGAACACAGACAGGAACCAGAAACAACTGACAAAGTCAGAAAAAGGCACCTAAATCTATAATCAACCCAGAGGCCTAGACACCAGCATAAGAACACAATCAGCAACAGACAAGGTAATATGTCACCACCAGTACCCAGCTATCCCACTACAGCAACCCCTGAATACTACAGGAGGAGCATAAGTAAAAAAACTTAAAACCAACCTTATGAAGATGTTGGAGGTTCTTAAAGAGGAAATGAATAAATCCCTTAATGTCAAGAAAGAAACAGATGAAAGAAACGAACAGACCTATTCAAGAACTGAACATGGAAATAGACACAATAAAGAAAACACAAATTGGGGCCGGGCATTGGTGGCTCACGCCTTTAATCCCAGCACTCAGGAGGCAGAGGCAGGCGGATCTCTGTGAGTTCGAGGCCAGCCTGGTCTACAGAGTGAGTTCCAGGACAGCCTCCAAAGCTACAGAGAAACCCTGTCTCAAAAAAAGAAAGAAAGAAAGAAAGAAAGAAAGAAAGAAAGAAAGAAAGAAAGAAAGAAAGAAAACACAAATTGAGGGAATTCTGGAAATGAAAAATCTAGGTGAGCAAATGGGAACTACAGATGCAAGCATCACCAACAAAATACAAGAGACAGAAAAGAACTCAGGAAAGTAGACATCAACCAAATAATCCAGTTAAAAATAGGGTGCAGATCTAAACAGGGAGTTCTCAACAGAGGGACCTCAGATGGCTGAGAAGCACTTAAAGAAATGTTTGACATCCTTAGCCATCAGGGAAATGAAAATCAAAACTACTTTGAAATGCCATCTTACACCTGTCAGAATGGCTAAGATTAACACACACACACACACACACACACACACACACACACACACGACAGCTCCTGCTGGCAAGGGTGTAGAGCAAGGGGAACACACCTCCATTGCTGGTGGGAGTGCAAACTTGCATATCCACTTTGGAAATCAATATGAGGATTCCTCAGAAAACTGGGAGTGGGGTATCCCTGACTCTTTTGCCTGTGCTTGGGACCCTTTTTATCCTACTGTGGCACCTCATCCAGCCCTAATATAAGAGTTTGTGCCCAGTCTTGTAATTTGTTATGCTGTCCAATTGATATCCATGGGAGGCCTTCTCTCTTTTTTAAAAATGGAAATGGAGGAGGAGTGGATCTAGGAGAGAGAAGCTAGGGTAAGTAGGAGGAGTGGAGGTAGAAGAAACTGGTTGGGGTGTAAAGAAGAAAAATGAAAATTTAATAAATAAGAGTGCTTGGTGCTCTTGCAGAGGGCCTGTATTTGGCTCTCAGGACCTACATGGAGACTCACAATCATCCATAACTGGAGTCCCAATGAATCTGATGCCCTCTTCTGACCAGGTGCACCAGGCATGTATGCACACGGTACACAAACACATGTACAGGCAAAGCTCCCTCGGCATAAAATAAATCTAAATTCTTTAAAAGAAATAATGCTCATAGTCCAAGAAGCTGGGTCTTTCATTCCTTACTGATGGGAAAATAAGATAACATTAGCGCACTGTAATAGTTGGGTTATTATAAAACTAAACATACTCATTATATATCTTAGTAGTTGTGCAAGCATACACACTGGAGAAATAAACATGAATAGTCATATAAAAGAATATATATATACATATATATTATATATGAGAAAAAGGGGAAATGATGTGGGATAATATTCTTGTTCACTGTAAAGATTTGTCACCCATATTGGTTAATAAAACACTGATTGGCCAGTAGCCAGGCAGCAAGTAGAGGCGGGGCTACCAGACAAGGAGAATTCTGGGAAGAGGAAAGGCAGATACAGAGTAGCCAGCCAGACACGGAGGAAGGATGAGAATGCCTTTCTGAGGAAAGGTACCAAGCCACATGGCTAAGCATAGATAAGAATTATGGGTTAATTTAAATTGTAAGAGTTGATGGCAATAAGCCTGAGCAATAGGCCAGTTTATAATTTTAAAAAAAGAAAATATATATTACTGTGCATAACAGTTTTATTTGTAATGGAACTGACCCAAATGCTCCAGTGAACAAGTAGTTAAACACACTGTTGTGAATTTGTTCCATTATACAATGAAATAATACCTAGTAATAAAGAAGAATGAATTATTTCTAAGTACATCTGTTTTTATGGATACCAGAGGCATAGTAACTTACTGGGGGCAGGGAGGGCTGATCTCAAAATATGGCACTGAAATGCTTCCATTTCCAGAAAGTTCTCAACGTGACAAAATCAGAGTTGGAGAGAGTATTAGGGTCTCTAGTGGGCAGTGATGGGCAGACTGGCATGAAAGTAGGTTTTGTGATGATGGAGCAATTCTCTGTTTTGGCCATGACAATCTTTACATGGATGCACATGTGGGACAGCAGTTCATAGTTAAACATGCATTTAAATGAGCACAAGTGGAAACTGTTGAGAGCTGAGTAAGGGCTGCAATGCAGCTCAGCACCGGCTTCTTTTTTTTATTATTTATTATTTTTTTTAACATCATACTACAAACATGCAGTATGCCACCGCTAGGGGCAGCTGGAGGAAGAGTTCGTGAGATTCTGCATCTGGGCACAAGGTCTCTCGAGATTTCAGTGACTGTTCATGTCAAGTTCAGTGCCCCCTTCATCCTAGCTCATTTCTGCCCTATTACATCACCTTCCCCCTTGAAACAGTCAAGATTGGCGTGGTCGAAGAGCCTCCGTGGTCTCTGTCCTTGGTCCTGAACACTTACCTCAGCAGCTACCTCACCTATAGAGCTCTGTCCTTGGTCCTGAAAGCTCAGCTGGTAATTTTCACCTCGCCCTGGGCACCAGTTAATCTCTCGCTGTTCCTTCCTCTCCAGCCCTCAGCATTCTGCTCTCCCACCCCTCTAACTCTTAGCCAACACTTCTATCTGGTGATGCAGTCACACACAGAGAAGCTGGCTTCGGCAGCATCCAAGCCTGCCCCTCTCTTTCCCACACCCATCAGGGACTCCCACCTCACAGACTTAGACCCTCCACTCTCTGACTCGCCCTTGAAGATGACACATCACCAGCTCCTACATTGTATCAGGATCTTAGTGTGATCAGGTACACCCATCGTCCAGAAGGAAAATTTAGGCAAGAGCTGATGCTGAATCCACGCACTCCATCTGAAGTCTAGAAGAAAAGCTTCCCAATGCAGGACTGGCAGACATGCCTCACCCTAAGAAACCATGTCTGTCCCCAGAGCTTCAGTGGAGAACTATCCTTGTGAGAGCTACTCCCTGGGTCTTTGAAGGCAAGGATGTAATTACATCATTAGAACCAAGATAAATGATAAATGGGTGTTTATTGGGGAACAATTATACAGAAAAATACAAAGAAACGCCAGAGCGTTTCCCTGATCTCCCTACCAGATCTGCTGGCCCAACAGAAAGAGTGAGCAAAAGAAAGCCACACCTCAGGCTCCTCTCTTTTCTACCTGAAGCCACACCCAAAGGGGAGTGGCTGCCGTTTCAGGTCCACAGACCAGATGTCTATACAGGTCTTCACACACACTTATGATGCTCCTATAAATATGTCCTCTCTATGGAAACGGGCATCACTAGTTCAAGGCAGGCTTGAGCCTGAGGGTGCAGAGAGAGGTCTGACATGAATGACTGGAGTGAATGGAGATGGTAAGGCCTGTATCTAACACTAGGAGACCTCCTTGCAAAAAAAACAAAACAAAACAAAACAAAAAAACAAAAAACAAAAAACAAAACACCAAGGAAGAAAATTGGCAAGCATTCAGAAAACAGGTCTTTTTCTGAGCTGAGGATGCCCAATGGATGCCCAGATCATCCACCAGCCCTGCACCTTCCTTTGAATTTCTGTCTTTATCCCCAAGGTGGACTCAGCCAGTTTCTCAAGTGAACAAAGATGGAACCTCCATTAACACTATGCACAGGAGTCTCTGGTTTAGGAAATACAGAGTGACATGGGGCACCCACCACTTCTTTCTCTACCATTGATCCAAATAACCACAGAACTTCACCTTTAAGCTGACTGGCTATTGTCATCCCAGACAATCAGGTGCTGAACTCTGACACATGCTCTCTGGTCATGGGGACATAAGGAGGCTTCAAGATCATGGTGAGATAAAATGATCAGATGAGGTAAAAGAATGCTGTGTGTTTGGGAGAGCGGGCAGTGAAGATGCTCAGCCTGAAGCCAAATCCTCTGGGATTATTCTAGAAGAGGGGACATGGCCTGTGATCCAAGTCAATGAAGGACGTGTTCCTAAGGGAACCTCTTCTCTGTAGGAAGGAGGTAATTGTTGCCATCGGAGACAATGACCTGAGATGCCTTTGTGTCACAGAGATCAAAGGGCTAGGCTTGTGTTTAACAACCTTCTAAAGGTTTCTTGCCCTTTGGGCAAAGTGAGAGCACAAACCAAGAAATCTGCAGAAGGGAAAGGGGGACCTCCAACACAGGGCCCAGGGGAGTATTGTCTTTCTTTTTATGGGTGGGGGAATGCTTGAGGCAGTCTCATTATGTAGCCCTGGTTGTCTGGAACTCACTATGTAGACAAGGCTGGCCTCAAACCCACAGAGACCCACCTGCCTCTGGCTCTCCAGTGCTAGGATTAGAGGCGTGTGCCGTTACTCCCTGCCTTGTTCCCCGTTTTATACTGAGGACTCCACAGGAGTCTGTAACTAAGAGTCTTGGATAGTCAGGATCCTCCTGTGAGACGTAGAATAGTGAAGTCCAGAATCCAGGCACCAATGCCTCCATGCAGAGTCAATCAGGAGTCCAGTGTGTGTCTCACCCAGTCTGCAGGGCAGAGTCCCTCCCAGGGCATTCCTGGGATATTTCATGTCACAGCTCTCGGGCAGTTTACTCTTAATTCCCCCCAGGAATCTTCTGAAGCCTGTTCACCCAGAAGACAGCACAGAGCATGCTCAGAAACAGGGGCAGCTTCAGGAGGACCAGGATCTGGAAGTGGATGGTGCTGAGCAGGGGCCTGTGGGCATGTGAGGGTGGGAAATGAATTCAAGGGGAGCTTCCAGGACCCGCCCCACATTTCCTAATGCCTTGCCTCAGAAGCCTGAATGATCCAGACTCAAACTAGGAAATGACCCAAGGAAGTCTGCCCTTGTGCTCCTCCCTCTCCCGCCCCACCTCTTTTTGGGTTCTAGGTAGATGCAGTCTTGTAGAAGCATGGCCCAGAGCTGCCTACTGTCTCCCAGTTATCAACTGACTTTATTGGTGGCGGGGCAGATCTCCCATAGCACAGGCATCGTAGCCCTTTCTGAGTACATCTGGGAGAGAAGGAAGAACCAATGTAAACTGCAGCCTGGAGCTGAGTCTGCTTCTCATGAAGCACCTGAACAAAGACTTTTACATCTATTTGTTTATTGTGGGGCTCAGAGATTGAACAAAGGTTGTTAGACCTGGTGGTAAACACTTTTACCCACCAAGTCATCTTCCTGGCCTTCAACAATGATTTTTGAAAGAGGCATAGAGCTAGGACTCCCAGTCTAGAGTCTGGTGGGGAAGGATAGACCAGAGAGGTGGGAATGAGAAGAGACAGTCAATCTACCAAGCACAGACTCTGCCCCAAGCCTGTGTCCCTGGAACCCCTCCGCCATACTTGGCATTTACATGCAGGCTTGGAGAATGTGGATGCTGAGATGGGGGGGGGGGGAATATCACTTGATAGTAAGGTTTCCTCAACGTGGGTGACACTGCTGACTAATGGGGAGGTCCTTCTGTGTATATGTTTCTCTTAGTGGCCGATGTTTAAAACACTGTTTGGCCAATAGAGGCAGGAAGACAGATGGGATTAGGAGACACTAGGAGAATTCTGGGAAAGGAAGTCAGAGAGAGAGACAGAGAGGAGACGCCATGTGGAGACCAGGAGGATAGGATGTGCCAGGCATTCTCTGGTAAGTTAAGGCCATGTAGAAATACATAGGTTAGTAGTTATGGGTTAATAATTTAGACAGAGGTAGCCAATAAGGAGCCCTAGCCACCGGCCAACAGTTTCATAATTAATATAAGTCTCTGTGTTTATTTGGGGCTGAAGCAGTGGGACCTGGCAGGACAAGAAACTCCAGCAACAGCCAACCCCCAGAATCCTACAGCTCCTGCTTCTCTCCGGGCCTTGGACCCTTACCATAGCTGGAGGAGGAATGACTCACTGGTGCTAATCCTCAGGTGTCCAGTATTCACTAGTGGAAGGGAGGCAGTTGTAACTGCGAGTGTGGTCGCCATGGGAGTTGTGGCTGTTGGAGATAAAGATACACATCAGGTCACTGCTTGGTCCCAGGCCTGCACTAAATGAGTATCTGTGTGGATCTGAGGTCACACAGAACCATACATTTGCAGAGGGTTTCGAGAAACCCCTGAAACCAAACCTCAGCCACATCCTGGGTGGGGCTCCCAGGGACCGAAGGAGGTTTCCTCCCAAAGACTGGCCAATATGTCATCTCAGACTTTCCATCCCCATCTGACTCTTCCTGAGGGAGGGCAGAGAGACCTTCCAGGGGTCCCCCCTGCTTGGCAAGAAGCATTTGAGAGACAGTGTGAAGGGACACAGCTCAGCTTGTGGCCCAAGAATCCTCCCAGAGACCAAACACCTTTCATATGGGAACAGCTAAAGATCACTTTCACTCACCACTAAGGAGGAATTGGATTGTCTCTCATTCCTCCTAGAGACACCAGGTTTCGGGTGATTTGTGTGACCTATACTTCAACCCCCCTCCCATGGCCAAGATGAGGACAACACTCAGAGGCATACTTCAAGACAATTCCCACCCGCATGTCCCAAGCACAGACACTTCCTAAAAGCTCTGTGGCCGGAGCGGGGATAGCCTTACCTGGGAGAACATGTACCTTTACAAGGACGGCTGGGTCACGAGACCACGAGTCCCAGATAAAGAAAGTTTGGATCTTGCACCAGTAAGATCCAGCGTCGTCTTCGCTGAGGTTCTCCATGGTCACTGTCATGGAGAAGTTCCCAGCGTGGTCTCTCATGGATACCCGGCCACTCTTCTTTACTTCCCCGTTTCCTTTGATTTCCACAATAGTTTTACATTTCGTATCGGACTTCCCTCGACACCAGTATTTAACATGGTCCTTGTATGACTTCCCGTACTGACACTGCACATGGACAGTGCCTCCCACGTAGCCAGACACGGAGCCAGGGCCCGTCAGAGATGAACAACCTGGAAAACATGAGCCTGAGTCTAGGTCTCCTTCCCGATGGGCCCGGAAGTAACTTTTCCTGAGTCTTGGGGAGATCCAGGGAGAGGACCAGAAGGAACATTTGCACTTGGGATCCTAAGCAAATGGGCTGGAGGCTGTAGCAGAGAAACAAGGATAAACCTGTCCCCGTGCGACACCACTGCCAGGCAAGACTCTTTTTTTTTTTTTAATTTTTGCATTTTATGTGTGTGACATGCACACCCACAGAGGTCAGAAGAAGACCCCTGGAACTAGTTACAGATGGTTGTGAGCCTCCATGTGGGTCCAAGTCTGGGTCCTCTGTGAGAGCAACAAGTGCTCTTAATCACGGAGTCATCTACGCGCTCTGCACTTTGCAGATAGCTTTTGGTGCTGTTTTGAGGCTGGAGGATAATTGCACACCAGCATCCAGCACCACACACATGGCTCGGGCTGACTGCTGACATATCCCTGGAAGAAGAAAGGGGCCAGCCCATAGATTCACTGGGGTAAACTGGGACTGCAGGGGTACATGAGCAGTATAGAAAGCAAGGGAAATTATGGGGACAAGAGAAGGCAGTGGAGCCCCCGTGGCTGGCCTAGAGCCCCTCACCAGGGATGAGAACATCCCAACAAGTCAGTATCAGAGAGTTGACCTTGGTTTCATATATAGATAATTAGCATTAAAGTAACAACAGCCCAGGCTTAAGGCTGAATGTGCATGCCCTTGGGTAAGACTTTATTCCTTTCCTCACATTGCCCAAGAAACTGGTATCTTAGAGAAACCCTGTCTTGAACAAAACAAAAAACAAAAAAAGGGTATCTTTATTAGGCCTAATCAGTGTTTTGATAAGCCTTATTCCCTTGAACTACAGTCCCCAAAGGCCCTTCCTCCCTTAAGTTGCTTCTTGTCGGGTGTTTTGTTACAATTGCAAGAAAACTCATACATTGTAACAGCTGGACCAGCAGGAAGCATCCTGGGCTGTTTCTTGAACACACAAGCTTGTCTTGATTCTAGACACTTCCATAGCCAGTGGTGAGCTCAGTGGAGGAGATGGATCTAGGCTTCATTTAAGTTCCTCCTTGTAGTTGCTGAAGGGACACTAGCCCGCTCAAGCAGGTGGCTCTGGCAGGCCTCGCCCTTCTCTCCCTATTCCCTCTGCCTTGCTAAAAACCATTAGATTACATCCCTAAAGCCAGCCCTCAAGGTCTATTCCCTTATTTGTTCGCTTCCTCCTCTTGAGGTTGACTACCAAGGTACAGTTATCAAAGTAATAAGTCCAGCAATCAAAATCCCCTTTTGGTTCACCCAATTTACATGCACAATTAAAATTAAACACCTCATCCTAACATGGGGTTTCCCCCTTTACCTTTATAAACCTTTTGCCTGTCTGTCTTTTGCCTTTTGCTTCTGCGTCTTTCTCCCCTCTATCCAAAGGCAGTCTTTTGTCCCTCCAGGGCAAACACCCCTTTCCCCTTCCCCTTGTTCCCCTTCTCCCTCATCCTCTGTCTCCTTTACCATCACATCTGAGGATGTATGAACACAAACCTCCCCTTCTCCTCTTAAAATGACACCTACACGGTCATCTGCTGCTGTTTTCTGTTTGAGTCAGAAAGCAATCACTTTAACTTTTCTTCCCTGCTAATAAAGGATCTCTCTGTGAAAACAGGTATTTGGGTGTGGTTTGTGTCTAATCTGGGGTACAGGGGGAAGCCCCCACTGTCCCACTGTGTGGGGGAGGGGGCCTCCTTTAGTTGCCTCTTACTGTGTCTGTAAAATGGAGACATTGCTGCCTTCTCTGCCTAGGTCACAAACGGTTCATAGACTAAAATGGCCTTAACAGTCCCCATGAGACCATCTACTGCAGGCTCCACAGGCTCCTGATGGTACTCAACACTCTGTACTTCAATTACTTTTTTTTATTAGTTTTTCCACTTAACACTATTTTATTCACTGAGTATGGTGGTGCACACCTTTAATCCCAGCACTCAGGAGACAGAGGCAGGAGGATCTCTGTGAATTTGAGGCCAGCCTGGTCTACAAAGTGAGTTCCAGGACAGCCAAGGCAGTTACACACAAAAAAAAACCCTGTCTCAAACAAACAAACAAAAAGCCCTAAAAGCAAAAAAAAAAATATTTCATTCGAATTATGTTTTCTAAAAGCGAAGGCTCTGTGTGAGTCATCTTTGGAAGTTCTCGTGCCAAAACCACATTTGCTGAACTGAGCATTTCAGATAGACTTAGAGCCATCTTGACTGGAAGACAGTGAATAGCAACATCTTTTGTGTGGAGTGAGAGCTTGAGTCAGCTGAGGACATGGCAGCACTGACTACAGGAGTCTGGGCAGCAAGACTTCTCGACAGTTTAACCCAGATCCATGTCCCTGAATGGGGATTGCCATCCTTCCCCAGGCTCCTCTCCAGCAGGCAACAGGTCATGGTGGTTCTCTCGGCACCTCCATGCAGCCGGTGGGGCACCTCAGGTCAAAGGCCAAGACTCTGGTAGCCACTGATCTAATCAAACCTGAGAAGTTTCCAGAATTTTCAGGAGGGAACCTCTCTCTCCACTACATAACAACAGGGGCAGGTCAGAAATGCCTTTGTGTTTTTATTTTTGAGACAGAGTTTCACTATTGTAGCCAAATAAGGCCTGACCTCAAGGTCCTCTTGCCTCTGCCTCCTGAGTGCTGGAATTACATCATTACCACACCCAGGACATTATTTTATTTAATATAATGTCTTCAGGTTCATTCATGTTTTGACAAATGTCAGGAGTGATTTGAGCATTGTAAAATGTGTACATGCATCAAAATAACATATTGTACCCCATAGTGTGTGTAGTCATTGTGTCAATCAAATAAATTACAAACTTGAAAGTGTGGGCTATAAAATATACAATGAAAAGAAGTTCTGGTTTCTGCCTGGAACGCCAGGACCCAGAGGCTGGATGGCCTAGAGACCTGGGATAGAGCCAAACACGACTGGAGAAAAATAGAATGCCAATGTAATGGTGAGTAATGATAATCTTTATGCTCATAGATTTGTGCCTAGCCCAGTTGTCTTCAGAGAGGCTTCATCCAGCAACTGATGGAAACAGACGCAGAGACCCACAGCCAACTGTTAGGCTGAGCTCGGGGAATCCTGCTGATGAGAGGGAGGAAGGGTTGCATGAGCCTGACGGGCCAAGGATATAGAAAGAAAACTCACATCATCAACTCACCTGGGCTCATAGGGGCTCACAGAGACAAACAACCAGGGAACCTGCATGGGACTGACCTAGGGCCTCTACATATGTGTGACAGTTCCATAGCTTTTTGTGGGACTCCTAAGAGCGGGAGCAGGGACTGTCTTTGACTCTTTTGCTGGCTTTTGAGACCCTATTGCTCCCACTGGGTCACCTTGCCCAGACTTAATACAGGGTGAGGTACTTATTCTTACTGCAGCTTCATATGCCATGTTTTGTTGATCTCCATGGGAGACCTGCCCTTTTCTGATTAGAAACTGAGGAGGAGTTGTAAACGGAGGTTTCTCTGTTCCTCCCCATCCCGCAGTCACTTCTAAATAATCATTCAGAGGCTTAATATTAATTACAAACTGCTTAGCCTATGGCTCAGGCTTATTACAAACTAGGTTTTACATTTAAATCAACTCATTTCTATTCATCTATGTATTGCCACGTGGCCATGGCTTTTACCAGTCCATTGACATCTTGTTTCTTGGGTGGCCGGCTTGTGTCTCTCTCGACTCTGCCGTTTTTTTCTCCCTGTATTCAGTTTGACTTTCCCGCCAAGCTATATTCTGCCTCACTATGGGAAAAACAGCTTTTGTTGTCAACAAATGAGAGCAACATATATTTACAGTGCACAGGAGGGTTATCCAAAGCAAGGACTGGATTGGGGGCAGGCAGGAGGGAGATGCCAGGAGGAGAGAAGGGAGAAGGAACTGCTGTCAGGGTGTAAAATAAATACATTTAAAAAAAGAAGTTCTGGTTTCTCATTAAAGTTTTGTTTACTTATTGACGGGGGCATGGTGTTCGTAGAGGTCAGAGGACAACTTTAGGGGGTCAGTTCTCTCTTTCCATTTTGTAGGTTCTAAGGCTCAGACTCAAGGCTTGTGTGGAGAGCACTTTCACCCATGAGCAATCCCACTGGCCTTAGCTTTGCTCATTTTATTTTGCTTGGGTTGTCATTGTTTGTTTTTGTTTTCCTTTCTCTTTCTTTTCTTTCCTCCTCCTCCTTTGTTTTCTTTAGACAAAGTCTCCCTGGTAAGCCAAAGCTGGCCTCAAATTCACAGTACTCAGCCCTTTGAGTGTTAGCACTACAGGTGTGCACCTGGCTATTTCTGTTGGTTTTATATCAGAAATCATTTCCTTTCTCTTTGCCTGTCCCCCACATGCTCTGGAATTCTCCCTTCCATCTTTCTTCCTATCCTTTCCTCGTTCCTTGTTCTCAGGCTCTCATATAAACCCTTGTGGGTCTCCTTTAGAAACAGAAGATGACTACCTTTTCCCAAACCATGTTTATAACCTTGGGTGGGTGCAGAGGAATGCTATGAAAGAAGGGAGTGAATGAATGAATGAGTGAGTGAGTGAATAAAAGAAGAGAGTAAATAAGTAAACAAATGAATGAATGAAAGAAGAGGGTGATCAGCCAGGGCTGAGACGCAGGAGAGTGCACTTTGTGTCAGTACAAATTTCTTCAATGTTTAAATCTGGCCATGAGCCCTTGCTTGCCCACCTGCAACTACACTCTTGGGGACAAGGTGACAGGTAGGAGGCCAGCCAGCTCCTGAAAGATGGGCAACAAGAGGTTCTCGCCTTCAGTTTAACTGCACTAGATGACACACTTGGGTGATTTTGTCAGATGTAAACAAGCTTCTCAGAGAAGCAGGAGTGGTCCTGCTTCATAGTGTTTGCTGATCACAGCGGTGTCAATATTCGCATCATATCTGACTTTAAGCTGCCATTTACTATAGAGAAGGGAAAAGCCCATGGTCGTCTCCTGTGGTCTGGGGCAAGGCAGCTCCGATCATCGTTGTTTCTGAAATCCACACCAGCAGTTTCAGAATTTCCACCACACTCTCCAAATTGTATAGAGAGTGTCATCACTACCGCCATCATCTTCACCATCCTCACCACTATCGTCACCATCACTGCCACCATCACCACCATCTGAAGACTGAAGCTCCACCAGGGTCAGATCTGTGTCTTGAATCCCAGTGTCTGATAATCTACCTCACACACCATCTCTGCTCAGTACATAGTTGCCAAGATGAGAAAGGGATAAGTAAGTGATCCACAGTAAAATCGTGTGTCTGTGGAGTAAGTGAATATTCTCCCCAAGCTCAGAAAACTTCCCTTCAAAATTAATAAGATGAGAGACCCCTGAGGGAGTCTTCAGGTGAGCAGCAGAAATTACCAGAAAAAATGATGGGGTTGTTGATGGAACAAGGTCACAGAGGAGGTCCCAAGAGCCAATGTTAAAAATCTCATCACTTTCATCACCACCATCACCATCACCCCCACCGTCATCACCATTGCCATCGCCACCATCACCATCACCATCACCAACATCACCATCACCATCACCATCACCACCATCACCATCACCATCATCATCACCACCATCACCATCATCACCATCGTCACCATCACCACCATCACCACCATCACCATCGTCACCATCACCATCATCACCACCACCATCATCACCACACCCATCATCACCACCATCACCCCCATCCCCCCCACCCCCATCCCCATCATCCCCACCATCACCAGCATCACCATCATCACCACCATCACCATCATCACCATCACCATCGTCATCACCATCATCACCATCACCACCATCACCACCGTCACCATCGTCATCATCACCATCACCACCGTCACCATCGTCATCATCACCTTCACTCAGGGCAGGCAAAGCCCCTCATACATGTGATACTATGCATCTAATTGTCTTCCTTAGCCTAAAGATCTGGATCTTGTTTCATTGTTTTGTTGTTTTAAGCCAGGCTGTCATGTAGCCAAAGCTGGCCTGGAACTAGCTATGTAGCTAAGGATGTCCATAAGCCTCTGATCCTCCTGCCTCTTGCCTCCCAAGCACTGAGATTGCAGGTGTGTGCCACAACCCCAGTGAAAGATCTAGATATGAAGGCGTTGAGAGATCTTGGAGATCATCCAGTCTTCTCTCAATTCACTCCTGAGGAAACTACGTTTTGGGGCCTTCAAGATGTCTCAGTGCTGCAAACCCAGGAATCCCCGTAAAGGTGAGGACGAGAACCGACTCTACAAGACTAGCCTCTGACCTCACATCTCCACCCACAACCACATGCACATGCACACACGTAATTAAAAAGAGAAAAGAACAGCAAACTATGTGTGATCAGAGTCGCTCAGCTGGTCCCCTCCCTTTAAATCCTAGCCTTTAAATTCTACATTCTGTGAGGGTCCATAAAAAAACAACCATAAATAACATCTGCAAGGATGAGAATTATTCTCTAATTTTCATCCTCAATTATTTTCCACAAGAAAATGTGTTTCCTTGTTTTTTATTTGTTTTTTAAGACAGGGGTCTCACTTGTAGACCAGTCTTTCACTCACCAAGATCCATCCTGCCCTTACCTCCCAAGTACTGGGATTAAAGGCATGTACCACCATGCTTGGCCTAAGTATCTTTTTAAGATTTTTTTTAAAGGCAAGATCTCCAAGGCAGTCCTCCAACCTGCAAGCCCCCTGCCTCAGCCTCCTGTGTGCTGTGACTACAGGTACACACCACCACACCTGTCTATGCATTATTTCTTACACACCTTCCCAACAAAGCCATTGCTACATCTGCACTTTCCACAATCTACACTTAATGTAAATTATTGCTTTTCTGTTTGACAGCTGTTCATCCTTCAAGACTGACTCCTGTGAAGCCTCAACAAAGTCTCCATTCCTCTGAGAGGAAAGCTGGAGTCCCTGGAGTAGCCTATTTCTGCATGAACACTGTGTGTTGCAGCAGGTCCCACACTGTAGTAAAATTACTTGACTGTCTCATTCAAATAGGATTCCCTTGACCGAGGGATTTGCCTATAGTTACAACAGCCAGAACAATCCAGGCATGCAGTTGCTATTTAAGACATGTTTGTAGAGTCCATGGATGAAGTTTGGAAAAGGACATAGGTGAATGGTCCCCTGCCCCTCTACTGCTGACACCTCGATTCTGGCTTGAACCCAGGACTCCTACTCTGCCACCCTCTGCAAAGTCAGGTTCATATATCCATAGCCCCACTCACCTTGCAGGCAGAGAAGGAGCAGAGCTGGGCACAGCCACATGCTCCTGCCTCGATGGGTGCCGTCTCCAGGAAGACCCAGGTGGCCGCTGGAATCCAGACGTGTAACAGAGCCCTGGCATCCGCCTCCTTGCTCAAGTTCTGTCTGTGTTTTTATCTCAGCTGCTTCCTTCTCAGTCTAAGCAACTTCCCAGTTTAACAAAAGAGGAAGAAGAACAAGAGCCACTTCAGAGAATGGACAGATCCACCACAAGAGCCTGTCCTTAATGAGAGCAGGGTTTCACAGCGAACCTTCAGGAAAGCCAATTGCTGTGTGTGACAACCCCAGGCCAGGAAATCCCTGTTTCTCTCACTCCATTTCTTAGTCAGCACACTTCCTTGCTCTCCATAGCTTCCCTTTGCTATGGCTATGGACTTTGAGGTCAGAAATGCCCCCACTCCAAGAGCAGAGATGCACACTCTGTCTCTCTCAACAGTTACCTCTGCAGTTGACTTCACGCCTCCTCCTGCAACCCAGAGTGCCACTATCCCTCCAGAGTGGACGTTCTGCCCTCCTGTGGGCAAGCACTACTTAACTTATGAAGTATTCACCTAATTCAGAATCAAGGTCGGCACTCAAGGCGTAGATGCCAGAGTCTTGCCCGCTTAAATCCTGTCCCCGTTGCTTTATTTATTTATTTATTTATTTATCCACTGTGTGCACGCGTGCCATAGTGATGTGTGGAGACCAGAGGACAACTTGCAGGAGTCGGTTCTCTCCTTCTACCACGTTGGGCTTGGGATCAAACTCAAGTCATCAAGCTTGGCAGCAAGCACCTTTACCCACTGAGCCAGCCCCTCCCCATTTCTACCACAGGCTGACAGTTTGCCCTTGATCAATTTGTGGAATCATTCTTCCCTCCAGTTTCTTCATCTGTGAAGCAGAATAATCATGACAATTCTTTTGTTGTTGCTTTTGCTTATTTATTATTCTTTTGCAATTCCGTGTGTATATAGCATACTTTATTTACACTTGCTTTACTTGCCCAACTTCTACTCCCACTAAGTCCTTTTTTTTTTTTCCTTCTTGACAAGTCCCCCTCCTGTGTTCATGGGGTTTGTTTGCTTATGTTTTGTGTTTTGTGCAGGCACTGAGTTCAATCATGGTTGCTTGCATGAGCATGGGGTGGGAGGCTGTTTACTGGAGTCTAGAAAAAGTTCCCTCTTTCAGCAAAATAATGATAATTTGTTTTTAAAGGTTTGTTCATTTTTAGTTTGAGGTGTGTGTGTGTGTGTGTGTGTGTGTGTGTGTGTGTGTGTGTTTACCTGAATGTATGTCTGCGCACTACACGCGTATCTGGTGCCCAGAGGGGCCAGAAGAGGACAACGGATCCCCTGTACATAGGGTTACAGACAGTTGTGAGCCACGATATATATGCTAACAAGGGGAGATTTCAGGTCTCCCCACAAAGAAGGTTTGCCAGGGACTGGAGAGATGGCTCATCAGCTAAGATCACTGGTTGCTCTTCCGGAAGACAAGGGTTCAGTTCTCAGCACAATTGTCTTTAACTCCAGTTTTATGGGATTCAACACATTCTTCTGGCCTCTGTGGGTACCAGGCATGAATACTGTGCACATACATGTACCTGCAGGCAAAATGCTCATACACATGAGTAAAAGCAAATAAATATTTGAAAACAAACAAACAAGATCAAACTAGTCTCCAACTCTTTCCATTTGGCTGTTGGGGTTTTGTGTGTGTGTGTGTGTGTGTATGTGTGTGTGTCTGTGTGAATGTGTGTGTGTCTGTGTGTATGTGTGTTTCTTGTGTGTCTCTGTGTCTGCGTCTGTCTGTCTATGTGTATTTTGTAGCTGTATGCTTTTCCTTACCTAATCTGATCTCTAAAGTTGTTTATATAAACAAAAACATATCACATAAATACCTGAAATTACCAAAGAATAAATTAAAATTTTGGAAACAAAAAAACAAGCAGTTTTAAAGAAAAAACAAAAACAAAAACAAAAACAAAAACCAAAACAAACAAAAAAAACTGAAGCCAAAATGGAAGCTTGGTGTGGTGGCACATGCCTATAAATCCCAGCATTCCCAAGGTGGAGACAAGAAGATTGCTGTAAATTGCAGGGTTAGCCTTTGCTTCAGAAGTGAGGCAGGGGCCAACCTAAGATACAGAGCAAAACCCTGTCTCCGAAAAGAAAAAAAACAATAAAATAAATAACAGTAAAGAGAACGGGAGTTAGCAATGGCAAATATGATTTAAAACCCACAAAATAAGCCTAATGTGATGTCATCTCATTGTAACCCAAATTCCATAGGCATCAGCAGGTTGGGCACATGAGAGCTCCGCCCCCCCACACACACCCAGGCTCCAAATATGGGAATTCTCTACAAATTGCAGACCCACAGTTTTCATCTGCGGTGAGTCAAAGTCAGGAGCTGGAACTGTAAAGGGGAGGGGAAGGCTATGAAGAAGAGCCGGTGCCAGCAGGCCTGTGGGGAAAGGGCCTTGGGCTGTAGCAGGGGCAGGAAGGGGAAATCTAAAGAGGCACAATGGGGGAAAAGCCAACAGCTTCAGCCCCTGCCAGACAAGGACAATAACTGAGCTCCCTGCTGCATGCTGGGACCCTATAAGAGTAACTGCAGCCACAGAACAGCCAGTGGCATCACTGAGGTGTCTTGGGAGAGTTACAAGCCACATGAGAGTCTCCCAGAACAGGCACTTAGGGCCAGTGAGATGGCTCTGTGGGTAAAGGTGCTTGCTGCTCAGCCTGAGGACCTGAGTTCTTGCTCTGTTCCTAGGAAACACCTTCCTTGATAAAGGAATGCAAAAAGTTAAAGGGTCGTTCTTACAGGGCAGAGAAGATGGCTCAGTCAGTAAAATGCTTGTCATGAAGGAACGGGTTCAGATTCCCAGCACTGATGTAAAAAGCCAGGATGGCCATGTTTGCGGATAATACTAGCAGTGGGAAGGCAGAGAGGCAGGAGGAGCCCTGAGATTTGCTGACCAGATAGTTTAGCTGAATCAGTGAGCTCCAGGTTCACTGAGAGACCATGTCCCAAAAATAAAATAAAATAAAATAAAATAAATAAGATGGAGAGCAGTTGGGGAAGTCACCTGCATTGACCTTTGACCTCCACATGCACACATGTGCACTCACACAATACATACTTGCCACTCTTGCCAGCTTTTTAGATTTTTTTCTTCTATTACAGAAAAGCCATAGATAACAAAACAAAGCGGGGGGGGGGATTCATAAAGGGAATGTTCAGGACAGGCATGTTGGCACGTCTTTAATCCCAGAACTCATACTCAGGAGGTTGAGGTAGACAGGTCTCTCTCAGTTCAAGGCCAGCCTAGTCAACATAGCAAGTTATAGAATGGCCAAGACTACACAGCAATAATCCATCTCAAAATAAGTAGATAGAAATAAATAGGGAACCTAGGAAATAAAAAAGATGCACATGGGGTCTGGAGAGGTGATTCGGTGCTTAAGAGCACTGGCTGCTCTTCCCGGGGACCCAGGTTCAGTTCAGTGCCTGTCTGCTGTGTGCCATGTATTACAGGACAGCTCCGTAAGAGCACCCCAGTTGTATCATTGCATTTACACTGGGCTCTGCCAATCCTCTGCGTAAATGAAGTTTCATGTGTCTTCCCACGAAACACTAAAAGCCCAGACATGGGCATCTGAAGAACTTCCATGGGGCAAGCCTTCTCTGGTTTCCCAGTTGCCAGCATACTGCTGCCTACTTTGTCTGCCCTTTCCTCGAGAGTTAGTCAGCCCTGCCTTCTCTCTCTCTCTCTCTCTCTCTCTATCTCTCTCTCTCTCTCTCTCTCTCTCTCTCTCTCTCTCTCTCTCTCTCTCTCTCAGCCCCCCCACTCTCTCTCCCCATCCCACCAGGCCAGGCCTCCCCCACTAACCCAGCACCAGAACACTGCCCTGCCTCTCTGTCTCCTCTGTGAAAACTAGGGCTGGGGCTAAAGGTTCCTGCCAGTTGCATGGAAATGTTCTGATTTTCTCCTCTCTGTTGAGGTTTTTGTTTCTTCCTCATGTCAGGGGTAAAAACTCCAGCTTCCCGAAAAAGAAGAACTAGAGGCAGGAAAACAACAGAAATGTTGTGGCTTTGAATCTCCTAATAATTCACACACGCCTCCCAGTTTCTAAAGAATGGCCCACAGCTTCCCCAAACAGACAACCACACTTTCATTTGAAAAAAGAGTTCTCAATGCATGGGGCAAGCAGAATTATCTGCAGTCAGCACTGCAAATTTGACACTGAATTGCAATTTCTTTCTCTTTTTAAAAAGTGTGTGTGTGTGTGTGTGTGTGTGTGTGTGTGTGTGTGTAGTTCCTGCATTGGCCAGAAGAGGGTGTTGATTCCCCCAGAGCTGGATTACAGGCAGTTGTGAGCCACCCAACATGGCCACTGGGAACTGAACTCAGGTCCTCTGCAACAGCAGTATGTGCTCTTAACCACTGAGCCATCTCTCCACCTCCACACTAGCAAATCTTGACAAGATGTTGCCGACACGGCCTGTGTGACACACATCATTGTTAACTGCACAACCTGCTAATGAATATATACATTAGATTGCCACCGTGGACACAAAGGTGAAGAGAAATGTAGGTGTCAGTGAGCATCCTGAAAGCAGTCAGACAGCACACTCGGATGCACAGTTGAGGAAAATCAGCAAGAGACAGAAAAACAAAAGAACAGGACTAATGACAGCAGGAGGCCTTACCTCTCTAACAAGAGCTCAACAGGGCCTAAAGCAGGGCTTCATAGCCTCATGGGGTGGGGTTCACAACACAGAGCAGGCCCAAGCAGGGGCACTTTATCACAAAAGAGGCGGGCAGACTCATGGCCTCTGGAGGGGCATGAGGACAGCAGGAAAGTGACTTGCTCTTGGCTCCCCTTCTCTTCAGTGTCCCCTGTTGTCCCGCGCGCTCTGTATTTCTCGCCAGCAAGAAATCATACACGGGACACTCGGATCCTTCTGCAGACAAGCTTTAATGCGTCTTGAGAGTGAAAGAGCATAAGCTTCCC